GGCGTGTTCAATGTCATTCCGGATACTAGGATGCAAAGTTGTTGATCTGTTGCTCATGAATTGCAGCTTACAACAATACTTTTCAGTGAAGTGGGATGTACTATAATTCAGCGCCCAAGAGCAGACGCCTCACAGGTGAGAGGCTCATTTCTGACGCCCCAGAGGTCCAGCTTTGCGAGCTCTTGTGCTTTGCTCGAGTCAGTTGCCTCCTTCGCCATTGATCCATAACATCCTTCCATTGCAAGCTACGCTCCGCGTCCTGCATCTGTTTCTAAAGTCCGAGGTGTGGTCTTTTTGCGAGCAGCAACGCTCCTGATCATTGGGGGGATCGAGCCCAATCCCGGCTGGGGGGGCAACGAGGTAAGCGATTCTGCGGCTCAAGGCAGGACAACGCTGGGAAGCGACATCGACAGAGGGTGGCCACTCATCCCACTGCCGTCACTGGAGGTGAGCGCGCGCACAATCCCCTTGCAGCATCATCGAAGAGGATCCTTCCATGATTGCTGAGATCGCTTGCGTGCGAGCTGAGAAGCATGTAGTCGGTTGCATGTTGGTTGAGACGTGCGGCATCCCAGAACAAAAGGGACACAGATGAGGGAACCTGAGCTCAATATCATCGCCTTTCTATGTTGTGCAGGAGGTTTACGGCAGTCCGCCGTCGCGCCAAGCCCAGAGCATGCATTCAGAGTTTGAAGCGTGGAGGAGCAAAGCACGTTTGAGCGAGCAGGTGAGTTAGGAAGTTACACATCACATCGGACAGTTGCAACGAGATATTAGTGATCTTTGCATCCTGACCCCAAACGTCTTCAGACTGGCGCTGCTTTCAGCCTGGGAAAGAGATCTCAGCCTGGGAAAGAGATCATTGGAGTCGCTGAGTGTCCCTTGCATAGCTGTCTAGCGCAAGCCCTTGAGATTGGCCCGAAAATGATGGCAATCTGCATGTTGTAAGCAGCAATTAGGTCTCTTTCTCAACTTGACTGTATCTAGTGGGTCACGTTCCAGCACTTTGTGAAAGCTCACGGCCTGGCCGGTTGCGGTCTTTGAAACACGAGTCGAGCGGCGCTAGTCGTCACCTTTGCATCAGGTTTGCTTAGAACTGATCAGGAACCTCTCATCCTCTGTACAGATAAACGGCGGCAACCAGCGGTCGGCTACGAGTGCGGCCAGTGAGTCCGGGTCCGAGCTGTCGGATTCGGAAGACGAAGGCGAGGACATTGAGGGGGCGGAGTTCGAGAGCGTGGGCGAATCTGCGGACGTGGAGACGTCCCAAGATCGCGAAATGATTGACGACAAAAGCCAAGACGAGGAGAATCCCGTGGTCGCCCAAGGCAGAATTCGCGCCGCCCTGGAATGCGACTCCGAGTCGGACGTTTCTCAGCTTCTGGGTCGGCGCTTCAAGCCGCGAGCGCGGAGGCAGACGACGAAAGCGGCCGAAGCCCGTTCCCCGCCCTCACGGTCGCAGTCCTTTGCCGAGTCCGACTCTGCCGGAAGCAACGGGCGGTGGGCGGGGGCACAGGTTGAGCGGCAGCTGGTGCCCGCCGCAATGGAAACGGATTCTGGGTCGGACGAGCTTCCGGCTCTCCGTAAGCGGCGGGTGCTCGATGGGGCAGCCCGCTCTCTACAAACCAGGCAGCGCCGCCGAGTGCTGCTCTCATCGTCGGAGTCCTCGGGTGAGAACGGCGACGGCCGGGCAAGGCAGAGCAACACTGCTGGGTTGGACGAGGAGGTGCAGCAGAGTAGGGGCAATGAGCCCGTGCCTGGTGACCGTGCGGCCAGTTGCGACGACCCGCCAGAGCCTGAAGACGATGGCTGCTTCGACGAATCTGACTTTGGGGAGGACGTGCTGCGTCCACGGCGAGCGACCATTGGTCAGGTGAGCGCCGTTTTCCTGCTGGAGTCCGGGCCATCCGCGAGGTGTGGTCCGGTCAGTTAAGCCGTCGGTAAAGTTGGACCTGCCATCCCTCCCATCAAGTAAGCACTCTCGGCACTTGACCACACCCCGTCAATGATTCTTTAGGAAGCCTCCTGTTTTGCAAGGAAGAGCCGTATGCAAGGTGTGGGCCGGTTAGTGTGTGGGGCAGGCCGGCCATGTCTGCCATTAATAAAGCAAATGGTGGGCACTTTTAGCCCTGGACCACACCCCGTCAATGA